TCAACAAAACACATCTTTAATGGAGATGGTGGAGGTGTCATTTTTCAGGCAATGTTTTTTTTCTCTCCTTAGATTGGACCATATTCGGCTGTAAAGACAAATGTCAGTTTTTGTTGATAACTTTATAAATGTCACAATAACCTGCTCTACACTGCAGGGAGAGTGATTTAAATTGGCATGTTGGGATAAAAGCACTCACTAACCACTTTATTAGGTATGTCTTGCTAGTTTCTGTTTAGACCCCCTTTTGCTTTTAGACCTACCTTTGTTCTTCGTGGCACAAGATTCAAGAAGGTGCTGGAAACATTCCTCTGAGATTTTGGTCCATATTAACACGACAGCATCACACAGTTGCTGCAGACTTGTTGGCTGAGACTCCTATTCGACCACAGGTCAAAGGTGCTCTATTAGATTGCAATCTGGTGACTTTGAAGGTCATCTGAGTACAGTCAACTTATTGTCATGTTCAAGAAACCAGTTTGAGATGATGTGAGATTTGTGGCATGGCACGCTATCCTATTGGAAACAGCCAGAAGATGGGTTCCCTCTGGACACGAAGGGATAAACATAGTCCGCAGCAATACACAGGCAGGCTGTGGGGTTTAAATCATCCTCAGTTGGTGCTAAGAGACCCAAAGTGTACCATTACCATTATGCCATATTCTAATACTACAATCCAAATATTGCAGCAGAAATCAGGTTGCATTTGAAGTATAGTCTCAGATTTCTGTTCTCATTTGACAGAAGTAAGTTGCATCCAGTAGTCTTCTGCTGCTGCAGGCAGTCAGCTTCAAGGTTCAACATGACATATTTTTCTGCAAACTTTGGTAGAAATGAGTGGTTGTTTGAATTACAGCTCAAGCCAGTCTGGCCATTCTCCTCTGACCTCTCCCAGCAGTGAGGCATCTTCACCCAGAGAACTGGGCTCACTGGAGATTTTTTGCTTTTTTTGAACCATGCTCTATAAATCAGCATTTTCTGGAATACTCAAAACAACAATGCCACTTTCTAAGTCAATTAAAAATCAACTTTCTTCTGCATTCTGATTCTCATTTTGAACTTCAGCAGGTCATCTTGACCACATCTACTTGCCTGTGTATCTAATAAAATGTCCTCCGAGAGCTTACAGTAACAAAGTTTTTATTGTATGTATACCAGAGGTGAGCAGTTAATTTTCCCAAGGCGTCACATCTGCCAGTTTTTCCCATTTCATCCCAAGCGTGTGGTTACCTCCATGAACAAATATTGTTCCTTGCAATCTCAAACACTTTAGTTTTCCCATCCATAAAGATGAGTAACTTGGCTGTGTCACAGACATCACGTCCAGTGCAAAGTGTCCACTTTGTCAGCGTAAGTTGCAGATTTCCCACAGTGTCCTTGATCAGTCTTGTTATGCTTCGCCTGGATAGAGACACATTCTCAAATGCTTCTTTTTTTCTCATGGGCATAATAACAGTTCACCAAATAAACTTCCCATCGGAGAATAGTTTACCTTTGTTACTGCTATTTGTGCAATTTTATGGGAAAAGACAAAGCTGGTCTTGACTGCTTCTTCCTTGGATGTGTAATGCTTGGTAAAAAAAAAGTTCTTCTGTCTTCACATATTAGTTTGCGCTCTGCATCATTCAAGTTCTTGTATTTTTATGTAGGTGCTTAGTCTCATAATGGCAATTCAAACTGTAATCCTTCAACATAGCAATCTTCTCACCACAAACTAAGCACACTGCTTTATCTCTAACACCATCTCTTGTTCAAAACGCTACATTCTGCATCAATCTGTACTCACATAGCAAGCAGGTCTGGCCCGGATCTGGTATCAAGCCGGCACTGCTGGCGGACTTCTGGCATGATAAGACGTATGTCATCCAGATATGGGCCAGGCCTG